TGGGGATGGGAGACCACATGACAGAAGGGTACAATATGACAAACATGGATAAGTCCAGCAGGCACAGGATCGCTGTGTCACGATGTGGTTCGCTTCCTGTCTTATTTTGTAGTTTTCTGCCACTCGTGTCCCTGGGTAACTTCACTTCCTGCCTTGTCCTGTCATCTCCTATGATCGTCTGATAGTTTCCACCTGTGTCCAATCACCTGCACCTCCCCAGTGTATTTAAGCCGTGTGTCTCTTTTGTCTCTTTTGTCAATATGTGTTGATGATATTCTGCTACGTGTTTTTTTTTTTCGTGTGGTGTGGATCCAAATACAGAAAAGCAGCCGAAAATGAGTGAAACATTATTTGTGTAAAGGTACCTTTTACATGGAGTTCCAAAAGAAAATTGTATAGAGCAAGTATACTGTCTCCCAAAGCATATTCACTTCTCTCACTTCTTTCCTTCCATCTGGCTGTCACACACAATATTCAGACAATGTTTTGAGCTGTCAATTCCCAGCCCAGTAATGACGCCCCTGACGTCATAACGTGATGGAACCTGAAAACCCAAAGCACATTGTTGAAATTCTGAAGGTATAAGTAAAAGCATTTTGAACAATCCCTGCCATTTTCTGAGTTGGTTATTTCTACAGCAGCTGCTCAGGTTATGTCATCTTAGTGACATGATTACCAAGCAAAGTCTTTTCCCTTTGAGTCATCGGGGGAAAATGCGGTCCTGTATACACCGACTGAAGCGGGCGTCACCACAGAGGCGCTTTTGATTACTTTGCCAGGGTTCTGTGCTGATGTCTGTGGACAGATTCTGTCAGCACGCCATCATCGCAACCATAAAAGATGTAGATACGAAACTTTACAGGTGTGTAGCTGGGATGAAAGCGAAAGTTGGACAAACGTGATGCAGGAATTCATATGTAACAAACAATTATTTTGGCATTCGGTCAAACATTCCAATATCATAGAGATATAAAAGTTCACCACCAGCTATGTGGATAATGTTTGCATATTCTGGCCCTTTTTTTGGTGTTATAGCATAAGTACATGTATTGGCCTTAAATGTAATGATCTGTTATTTGCTGCAGGTTACAAGCTTTGCTGGAACATATCTACCTTTAGCACCTAAAGCCCCACAAGTAAAAAGGGTTCCATTGCTGCATAATGCAGAGGCGTAGGACATGCGGTAGTACTTGTTTACATCAAAGTATTTGTGTGTGTGTCACATTTGTATCTGGTTGCGAGCAGAGCTTTATGCTCTCCTGACATTTGCATGGCAGAGAACGGTCAAATCCAGACAGATGCCAGCTTAAAGATAAAAAAGTAAAACACACACACACACACACAAACAAACTGGACATCACACACTCAGTCAAAATTGGAGCAAGCATGTATAGGTTTGGCAAAGATTTTAATTTTCACACGTTTCCTAACTTCTGTGCAGAGTTAAAAAGATGACCATATGACTGCACATGAGAAAAGACTGACTCTTTGTGTGCACATTACAGAGCTGATAAATGGCCTCTGTACACTTTATTATTCAACAAGTTCAACAAGCCTTTTTCTATAACTTTCATAATTTCATATGATCCATCATTCATTATGTCTGGTTGTTGTCCATGAAACAACTTGGTACTGACAACTTCTACCAGGCCATGTCCCCCTTTTCTTTGCAGTTAAAAGCTCTGGTCATTATGAAAACAAGCAGAGTGAAATCTCATTTACGACTTTTGAAATCTGTCATTCCCCAGAGTGTTCTCCATTAATGATGCAAAATGACACCAAGTTTGCTCCCCTTGGGATGAAAACTACTGGCTGGCTTCATTACAAGGTACTTTTAATTAGTCTTTGTAATTAAAAGCGGAATATTGGGTGCTCAAAGGCAGGGAGCTTAATTGATATGCCCACAAACATTTGCATGTTCGCTCCCTACCAGTGATATATTTTTTTAGCAAACCGTCTCGTTTTCACAGTCAGGTCTCACAAGGGGCAGAGAGTCAAACTGCAGAGGGATTTAAAGGAAAATGTGGATGACATCTGCCTAATTAAAAGGAAGTAAGGATGGGATCTGGCTAATGTGAAAGTGAAAACTGAGTGTAGTGTAGTGAAGTTGGGTATCTACATTTTTTTCTCCAATTTCTGAGCTGACCTTATACTGTAATATATCATCCAGAAGGGGCCCTTTGGATAATGCTCAGACAAAGGCATATATTATCCACAGCTGTGGGGTAATTTGCAGTGTCAAAAGGACTTCAGCGCCTATGGTGATTTATTGGTTTAATAAGTTGTATAGACCCTTTGTTAGAACTCATTTAGCTAAAAAAAAGCATTTACACAGGTAACTAGAACAAATACAGATTTCCACAAGGTGTCTGTAGCAACCACTGCTGGGCTATGTTCCTCGTATTGGGCTTTAAAGGGTCGTAATACACACTTAGATTGTGGCCATTAATGCCCTCAGCTGTATTATCACGTTGCCCATCTAAAGTGTACGAGAAATCAGCATGTATAAAAAAATGGCAATAAAACACGTTGTGAGAAATTGTCAGTCGACCACGGAAGGATCTTGAGCACGAAGCCATAACTGCCCACCAAAAATATAATAATAAATATAATGCAAGATTCAACAAGGACAGAGACACACGTGCACACTCTCACATGCGATCATAACGCTCTCCTGGCTGAGATGATCCAAGATAAAGCTCAAGCCCACAAAAAAAGGAAAGGAGGATGTTATCACATGAAACAGCATTTTAAGCATCAAGGAGCTTGACTTCACTTCATATATATATGTATGTATATATATATATATATATAAAAATAAAAGTAATACATATATATAAAAGAAAGTAAACAGAAATACACAATGCAGTAGTGGAATGTTTATTTTCATTATTGATTAATCCGTTGATTATTTTGACTTTCCCAAGATGTTGTCCTTAACTTTATTTTGACCGACCTAGAGGTCAAAACCACCTGAAAATCCTATACATTGGGAAGGGGGCGTTTTAAGCAGGGTAAGACTTTTTAGTCTTTTCAGGATCATTATTCTGTATTAATTGAATTAATTTGAGCCAACACACAGTTACACTACAATCTTTCACAGCCTTAAACTTATTTGAGTTTGGCTTTGAGTTGATATATTTTATTTCCATTTTGCATATCCACAGCAATCTGCTGCTTATATTTAAGGCTCTGCAGGGCCGAGCCCTGTGCAGTAATCACAGTACCAACACAGTTCCCCGGTTCTTTGGAAACTCAGCAGTACAACATATTTCTCTATGTCGTCCCAATGGTTTGGCCTTATTAATATGTTTTGGCAGGTATGATAAACAAGCTGGAAATCTCAGAATGGGGCCAATCTTTAAGAGGAATGGCAATGAGAAAGGAAAAAAAACTATTGAATTGGGTGAGGTCCATTGCGAGATCTTTTGGTGTTTGGTGTGTTGGCAAAAGCAAGCGAAACTTCAATGCAGAACTTGAAACCAGTGATGGTTTTATTAGTCATACTGAGTGCTGATAGCTTTTGAATGCCTCCAATGTTAATCACAGTGGACTCTACTTTTTTCCTCTGCCATCTAAAGCTGTCCAGTCAAATCTCAGAAAATTAAAGTAGAGTTAAATAACATGAAGCTTGCATAAATCACTAACCTCTGAACTCTGGATTGCGTAATTCCACGTTATGCAGAAACAAGCTGTAGTTAAAACTGTTTTGAACTGTCAATTATGTAAGCTGAGTGTTGAGATGAATTTGATTAGATTAGACTTCCTTGTTCTGTTATTTGTTTTTTTACTTTGCAAACTGTAATTGTAAAAAAGGCAAGGGACTAAAGTTCAGGATACATTTAGAAAGACGGATGTTTATCTTAGATTGACAAAAGAGTGGAAACAGAAGGGAACACCTGTTTTCTTTTTCATCTTTATTTACTTAATCTAACCTCATCAATAGACCACTCCAGTCTCAGGTGTGCTGCTGTTCTACAGCAACAAGACAATTAAATAGCTGTCTCGTTCCTGATGAAATATATGCTGATTGCCTCGTTCATGTAGGGCAAAGCACCCGAGACTGATAAACAATTTCTTGTAATCTGTGCCAGGAAATAGAAAAATAATAATAATGAAAGTCTTCAAGATGCAGATTCTGGATCCGGCAAATTTGACAAAATGGTTGTCAGTATGTGTTTGCAGGGTGATGTGTGGGATTGACAACAGCTCGACAGTTTAGCCAGCCTTAATGTAAATGAGTATAATTAGTTAAAGGGTGTTAGGCTGGATCGACACCACTTTATTTTGCACGGCACACTGATTCTGCCAGTAGATGAAGGAGATGGCATGAATGACAAGCAGAGCAGGATGACAGGTGTTAGGGATTTAACACAGGTGTGCATCTTTTTACTTCAAATTGGACAAATCATCAGATTGCATGTGTTCACTCTGGTTGTTGAGCACCACAGCTTTATGTTCAGACTCCATGGTATTGATGCACTACTAATTTGCCTATTCTGTAAAGATCCAAGTTGTTACGAATGTTATTAAACCAAAACATTATGAGATTCCTCTGTCTGGCAAAAAAAAAAAAGAATCTCGATGTTGCTATATAAAAAAACACATTTTCACAACATCATTAAAAATACCGTTTTTTGATCTGGTGTTGTATGCCCAAATGTTTTCACAGATCCATGTTAGGAATTTGATTTTATTATTATCATGTATGTAAACAGCTGAAAAATGTTGCTTATGTTTTGTTAAAGTGTGTGACTGACATCTAGTGGAGAATACATACAAGGAAAAACAAACCTATACTGTGTATGCATGTATAAATGTGTATATTTAAGAAGTCACCCTATGTTAGGATGTTTATTATCCATGGAAATAATAATAATAATATAATAATAATAACCTCAAATAATGGTAAATAGAGAAACCCGCCGTTTTTTTCTCATAGGCTGTGGTTAGAGGTTTTAAAATGTGGATTATCATCTCCTCTCTCACAGTGAAGCAGGGGTGGGGGCTGTAACTTGACCTTGCCTCTTAATGGCTGTGGGACACTGGTGCCCCGTCCCACTGGCCTGTCTGCCCCTCCGTTGTGTCTATTTATAAAGTCCAGACACAGAGCAGAGGTTATTGCTAAACACAAAGTGACAGGCGGAGAGAAGACAGAGGTGAGAAATTTCACTGTTATTGTTCGAGTTGTTCACTTTGTATTTACTGTATTTATTTGGTTTTACACAATATTCTATGTCTATATATATGAACCCTCGACAATCCTTTTGCTCCTAGGCTGAAATTGTGAGAGCTTTTACTTAGTAACCAGCATTCAAGATTTATAATAATGGTACATTCTGTCTTGATTGAAAATGTGGCCATAGCTCTTGATTAGCCCCAGTATGGCCCTGGATATGTCCATAATGTCCAAATACTGTTTCATTTCTCTCTTAAGGTGAGATAAAAGATGCCTGGGGGCCATCATGAGCATTGCATCACGTGTTACAGTGTCCACTGCCACGTCCCTGTGCAGATCTCCGTCTCATGCATAGTCGTCAAGTGTCGTCACAACTGTGGCGCCACCTTCCATATGTGCAAGCAAGAGGAGCACCATCTTCTCTGTCCCAACGAGACGGTCCCATGCCTCAATGTCGAGTACGGGTGTCCTCTTACCCTGGTCCGTCACAGGATGGCCAAACATCTGGAGGTGTGTCCCGCCAGCGTGGTCTGCTGCTCGCAAGAGTGGAACCGCTGGCCTGTTTCAGAAACGGACGTGGCCTTCTACAAAAATGTTTTGGAAAGCCCTCAAACTGAGGTCAACCTGGATGTTGCCTTGGCTCTGAGGGACCAAGAGCTGCTGTTTAGATCCATCAAAATGAAGAACATCTTCCCCGAGTTGATGGCAGGGGGTTTTGCCCCTCAGAATGGTTCTGCTGGGGTCAACGGTCCTGCAGATGAAACAACCTCTTCTTTAGATCATGTAGAGTTTTTTGAAAATGGCTCCGAGAGGATGGAGAGAAGAAGAAGTCAAGACGAGAGGGAGGCTTTGGCAAGGAATGGGGATGTGGATGGCATACAGAACTACACCCCCTGGGAGAAAATATTCAACAAGGAGATGGAGGGATGTAAGCAAACAGTGAAAAACTTGAACGAGAAGGAGGAAAAGGCAAAGGAGGAGCAAGAATCATCAAACCGCCCGGGGGAGACAAAAGACTCCCACCAGAGCCGAGAGAGCACTGCTGAAACTCCGAGAACGGACGCAGCTGACCTTGCGCCGTGGCACGACGGGGTCCTCCAGAGGTTGAGCAGGGAAGTCAACATTGCTGAGTACAACATGTACCTGGCGCACAACGGGGCCATGTTGATCAACTTTGGCCAACTTTCGGCTTGCACCCCGAGAGAGAGGGATTTTGTTTATGGGAATCTGGAGCCAATCGAGGTTCAAACCATCCGCTCATTTATTGCTCCAACTAGCTATCGGGCCAAGCGCAATTACCTGAAGGATCGGAAGGTCAAGACCAATGCTAGCGTTGACACGGCAGATTTGGGTGTTCTGGTCAAGGATCTCCCAAAGTGCGACGAGGTCAGCGCCACACTCCTGCTCTCCCTGGAAAGGGAACTGAGAGGACATTTGATCTCGGAGAGTGCAGGCAGGGACGGTCTTTACGTAGATATAGGGACTCAAACATACAACTTTGCCTGCGCGCCGTTTCACACAGAAGCTACTCTGGCGGATGTCGTCTCCGACCAACCCCGCGCTCTTCATGTGCAGGTGGAAGCGGAGTCTGTCACCAGAAGACACAACAGAACCAGTTCAGCCTTCAGCCACATGTGTGGCCTCTTCTTTCGGCGAGATGAATACCGCTCTCATTTCAGGAACGTGCACTGCGACATACAGGCGTCTCTGAGCGGCTGGTTCCAACAACGCTGCCCTTTGGCGTACCTTGGTTGCGCATTCGCCCAGACAAGATTTCACCCGGCAGGTCATCGAGCCAACGTCAAATTCTGCCAAAATGTCAGCGCCTTTGTCCTCGAGCCAGAAGTCCCTTCACTCCTGCGTGAAGGCGGGGAAACCTTCAGCCCGAAGACAAGTGGCACACATAATCTGGATCCCATGAGCGGATTGCCCCTGGAGATCCTTCGGCACGTTGCTGCCTATCTTGACAGTTTCACATTATCTCAGCTGTCCCAAGTCTCCCATCTCATGAGAGAAGTGTGTGCCACATTGTTGCCGGAGAGAGGGATGGTCTTTCTCAAGTGGAAGAAAAAGACATATTCCCATGGGGGAAGCTCCTGGAAATGTCGAAAGAAAGCAAGTATCTTTAAGATTCCAGTTGTTTTCTTTCTTTAAGAGAATTATCTACTTGGTGGTAGATTGCAGCAGGCATAATTGCTGCAGGCCGACACGTCGCACTCGTGGTCTTTGACAAAAAGGAAAAATCAGATTACTGTAGAAAAGAAGCTCAGTGGCAAACACCAGTAAAAAGCGATAAAGCTACCAAAGAGCCAGTCCACGGTCACATGAGTGCATTATACCCAAAGAGGCTTTAAGGTGGATGAGCCTGCCTGATGGCGTTTTGTATTCTCATTCAGCTGCTTGTTTGCAACTGCCTATTTAAGATCAGTTAAAGCTTCTAAATTAACAAGAGGAATAGTTACTTTATTCTTTACGTTTTTATCCCTAAAGAAAATGATCCAATTTCTTAGTCTTGTTTTTAACATAGACATTATGTCAAGCCTCTCCGAGCAAAGCCTATAAAAACTAAAACATTCACTTTGAGACAAAGGAACATGAAGTGCAGAAATACTGACTCTTTTCTAGGGATTTGGACTCAATTACTGAATTGATCTTTTCTGCCAACTAAAGTGCAGCTAGGATTATGATGTCACTTTATAAACTAATAAAGTGCTATTTCAGTATTTTATTTTGATGTCAACCCTGTGCACAGAGAATGGAAAGTAAAACACAAGGCCAAAGAGCTACATCAGATCCCAGTTAGTATCTGGCATCCTTCTGTTCACTGTCACTGAAAAGTTTCCGTCATTCATACAGCGTGACAGCTGCTGCATTGTAAACACTCTTCAGACTCCCCATAGTCCTCTCTAACAATATTACAAAACTGAATCAAAGCTGTGTTGGCAGCAGATCCAACCTGAAGCAGCAACTGGCGGTTCACCACCTTTTATTCTGTGTCCTTATCATAGAATGTATATACTATAAATTTATATATATATAATCTATGGTCCTCAATGTAAACCAGCTGTGTGGGAAAAAGCACATTTATCTTCTGATCTGGTTTCCATACATTGCTTCAGTAAGAAGACAGTTGCGCTTAACTGCCATTCGGTTATAACAACAGGCCGATTCTGTCAATGACAACATAAAATCAATTTAAGAAAGTAAAATTAATATAAAACCAATATAAAATGCAAATAGTTACAGACAAACCAATGCTGACCGCATAGTTGCTTCCATGATTTATTATTTCCTTTTTTGAGAGTTGACAGAAGAGAGATTAAGGAAAACTAGGCGTGAGGAGGATTAGAAACCCAGGGATGCTCTGTTTGCATTCGTCCACTAAGCTACACCTGAGACGCGCTGGCTTAGACTGCTAGTCCACTGGGACGCCTACTGGCCCAATCGTCTGAGCCTTGAGGAATCCCTCAGCTGCCTTGACTTTTAAAGATGATCTTAATGATGTATGGAATTATGAGCTTCATGCACTGTGTAAGTATGGGCATTTAAGAAATTCAGACACATGATCTATTGCCATCTAAATTCATCTTTTGGCTGTAGCAAAGTTGCCTGAATAAAGAGCCATCGAATGTAGAGTGTTACTTAAGTTAAAAGAGCCGGCAACCAATCGGGAAGGCATATGAAAGGGTTCAGCAAATACAAAACTGACTCTATTTTATTAAGTATTGTTTCATTTTCAAAAAAAATCTGCAGACAAGCAAGCAAACACTCCTTGATCGATGGCTGCAAACATAACCTCTCTGCTGGGGGTATTAAAGGATAAAAATAGTAGAAATGCCGAAGTGCGTATTTTTATATCCACTCTCTCAGTGATCATGGGACAAAGAGCGGAACGATGATATCAGAGATGTGGAATGGCCTAAGGCCTCGATGCCAGTAAACAAAGTGCCACCATAACAAGTCAGAGGTTCTCATTCATGAAAAAACGAGATGTTGACAAGACTGTGTAGGAGACAGCTGGGTGAAGGCCATCATTGGAATACATTTGCAATGGATGGATAAAGGATCAACTCAATGCCATGACATGAGATAAAAATACTCAGATCCAGGTTCCATGGAACTGAAATAAATGTATCTTCGTGGGCACTACTGCAGTGCTACTTCCGCTCTGTTTTCTGTGTTTTACAGGTTTGGGAGTTCAGCTCTATGTTTTCCTCTGTGGAAAAATGGAACCTCAGCTGCACTTCTTCCATGTCAGATCACCTGAAAACCTGCTCCTTCTACCAGAGAGAGAAGCACACCGAGCCGGTGGCTTTAGCCTGCCTAGGGGAGGTCAGAGACAAACGTGGAGAAATCAAGTGCAAAAGATAACGCTCAGGATCCCAGAGCGACAGGAGTCATTTTGGATTCGGACCTGCTCATAAATACTGAACATAGGAAGATTTCACTTTGGCAGTAACTGTGAGGATTTTAATGATCTATTTAACCTCTATTTTCGAGTCATGGCTCCTAAAATAATGTCTGTTTAGTAAGGAAATGCTGTGTTATTAAGAGTTGAATGAAACTTAAAGAAAATCCCCCTGGGAGCACAAGACATAACAAATAGATTGCTATGGTGGTAGAGACGGGTCCTCATATTCAGTTGAGTCAGATCATATTTTTCCTGCTGACAAGCATTGTTTGATCCATCTTGTTTTATTGTTGTGGTGAGAAGCATCAGGAGATGTTTATTATCTTTCTTTAGAATGACAAGACTGACATCTACTGGAGAGCAGCTGAAGTACCTCATTGGTGTGGCGTGGAAACAACACAGAAGCAGGAAATGTCTTCTTTTTTTGATTAAGCACAGCAGCACATGAGGACACGACCCCTTTGTTTAAACTAAGACTATCCTTATGGAGGAAGAGAGAAATAATAGATGTGTGTAATTGTCATTTATCTTATAATAAAACAGCCTTGCAATTGTCTTCATTTATTTCACAGCAGCATTGTCTGTACAAAAGAAAAGGACATTATTACAGTTTAGAAATGTCCTTTTATTCACCACAGAATTCAAAACAGCAAAGGCGTAGAAGCAACAAACCGCCAACTACAGTGTCTTTGACACCTCCGGGTTTCGTAGTTTGTTGATGACCTCCGACAGCATTTTGTTGCACAGGGCTGCGTACGGATTCAGAGCCACGGCCTGCTGACGAGCAAATTCACTTCCGAGTGCAGCTGCTTTCTCAAAATCTGCCTTGGCTTCATCGCTCCGGCCTGCCAGCCTTCGCAAAAGGCCCCTCTGCACCAGCGCCTGGCATGCAGTTCGTCCGGCGCCGCCGCTGAGAGAGACAGCGCGGTCCAAGTCCGCCAGGGCTTCTGATAGGAGACAACAACACTGTGTCCTTAAAGTCCATTTTCAACTAGTAACGCCCTGCAGGCCACTCAGTTTGTGCCCAAAGTCACTACATAGAGAGATGGCTGAATCTGCTTTAAATGACCTCACTGCACTATACACTCTGTGGTTTATTTACAGTAATTAAATTAAATTGACAACAATCTGACCAGAAAATGTAGCTGTCTGAATTTCATTGGCTAACTTCAAATACTCACCAATATAGGTACAGAATGTCCTTGTTCTCTAAAGGAATAGCAGCTGGCATCGGGTTACAGACTAATTCAAAAGGAAAACATAAAAAGAGACTATGCTTTTTGAAAAAAAAATAGAGGTAAAAAGATTCTACAACATTGAGTGCATGGGTGAGCAGAAATGTAAATGACAAAGGTGACGCCATAAGCAGACACAACACATATCCTTTCACAGTTGTGTAATGTTATTGATGTATATAATTAAAGAATAAACCCTAAAGGTTGCGCAAGAGATTCCTAAACCTTTAAAGGATCCAGCAATGACTAAAAGAAAATAGCCTGTAATTATGTGCAACCCATGACTGACAACTCGTAAAAACAACTTAACTAAAGGGCAAAACTCCGAGCCACTACAGTCGCACTGCTGACAGAGGGCATCAAATAGACAAAGCTCTGATATGATGTCACACCGGCCTCAGACCTGATAGTCTGACATGCCGGCTGAAGGGTGATTATTGGGTTTGCGGCGTGTACCTGCTGTGTTCCCCTGCAGCCGCAGGGCCTGTGCCCGGTTGTTATAGGCTGAGGCTCGCAGAGGCACGATCTGGATTGCCTCGCTGAACAGTTGAAGTGCGGCTTGCAAATCCCCAGCCTCTGCTGCCGAGACACCCCGCATCTCCAGCCCTTTCACTTGCCTCAGCAACTCTGTGTCAAAGCCACTGTCTGGTAGGGGGAGATAAACAGGTTGTAAAAAGCCCTCAAACTCAAATGACAGGTACCGCGGCGAAGAAAACACAGAAATGTCTCAACTTGGATTAAAATGTCGTTTTTTTTTCCAGTCCAGGAACGGAAAGCGTTGAAATGAATTCAATATGCTATGAAATGCTAAATGTAAAAAGGCCGTGACATGATATGCGGGGACACGTCAAGTCAGAGGCTCACGCTCACCGTCATCAATTAATTCCTCCTCTTGGCTCAGGCCAGGGATGTCTCCGATGGGGCTGGTGGGGTTGAATATAGCCTGGAGCACAGCTCTGTCATGTGTCGTGGCCATCTCTCTGGCGTCTGTACAGACAGCAAAGAAGCAAACCGTGACAGCTAAACTACAACTGGGTGGAAAAATCTTTCCTCTTAAAATTCCAGCACCGGCATCAGCCAATTGGAGAAGGGGGCGGAAGCAGAGGTGGACTTTGAGATTTGCCATCTGTACTTGGTTAAGTCAAAAAAATGCAGCCCAGGCCACATTTTGGGCCCGGCCTGCCAAAATGCTGTTATGATACAATACAGGACATGTTCTCAGAAAGACCGGCAGAAGTGAACATTTACTGTGAGTGGAAAGTTTGTAGTTTTCAGAAACTATCGCCAGAAAATAAAAAAGAGATGGTCAAAGTGGTCCAAGCTGAGTTTTCATCACAGAGTACCAGTAACATTAAAAACATGTTATTACTGTTTTAGAAATGTTCTTCCTGTAAACAAGTCATCAGCATCCACTAGCACTGTAATGCTAATGGAGCGATAATGGGTGCAAAGGCACTTTGTTGTCAATTTTACACTAATGCGTAACTGTGGCTGGTGTACAGCACTTTTATGTTAAAGTGTGTTCCCGCGTCAACCAGAATAGAGGGCAGCAATGGTAATGTAATTGTACATGAATCTTTTCTATTTGGGAGACTGCGTCAACCAACTATATGTATTATACTGAGTAGTATAAGACTAAAACACCTCTAAACTCCATTATTCTGCATTGAATACTGTATATTATTGTAATACTTTGCACATGCACTGCCATACTCACTTAGGTAGCATTTGGATTTGTTACGTAGTGCATTACAGCATGGTTTCGCTATTTTTAAGTAAAAGATTTAAATTCGTCCTCCGATACTGTGTTTGACAGATACAAATGAGAGAACACTCTACAGGCCGTGACAAGCAGCCCGCGGGAGCAAGCCCTGCAGCAGTTAGATACAGAAAGTGTGGAGGGATAAAAGGGGAGGGAGGGAGTATTGAGAATAAATTCACACATTTTCGGCCTGATGATCAGCCGAAGGATTCCTACATTGTTTCACATCCAGAACAATGTGGGACCAATGCCAAGCGAGTTCAGGAAGCAGATATTCACTGCAGCCTTTCAGAGTACCGCTGACTTATATGTGGGACACCGGTCTTGGAGGAAAACTCTTGCTGTCTTACTGCTGAGCTGCTGCGCTTCCTGAACAATCCAACTGCACCAAGAGAATAGCTCATGCACTCACATCCAGCAGGCAGGTTTGATACATTGCTGGTATCAGAATACAAGTCTCATAACTGCATTCTGCCGGAGGAGACATCCAGACCAAAACATCATGGCTCAAATCCTGCCTTTTGTTGTCACTGCTGGCCTGCAGGTAGATGCACTTGGATAACGATACAGAAGGAGTTTTTAGAAGTAGGACTTATATTCATGCGTGAAATGCATGTGTGTGATTCACAACAAAGCAATTGTATAGTCCTTGGGAAGATCATCATGATATTGATCCTATACTATGACTAAAATAGTACATTCTCTGAAACTGTTGTGTTTTTTCTTATATACTATAAGTAAAAACGTGTTAAATAGTCAAAAAGACAACATTTTAGAGGTCACATTTGGAAAAATAAATGTCAAGTATATAACCAGATTCTATTTTTCCACATCTTTGTTCTCCCTATAAGACACTAGATAGCGCCATACAGTATATATATTTTTTTCATACTCAAATTAAATTCTGAAAAAATCCCTCTGTTCACATCTCCCCCTGTGAGGAGGAATCTCAAATAACCGGCAAAACAACAACAGCCGTGTGCTTCTGATTTCATCTGGAGTATTTTGACGGTCGTACACAAAGAGAATTGTTGCCTTACATGGTTGGCAAAACCTGAAAACACAGCAATTAACATAGTGTGGTTGTGTAGTACTCGTTTGCTTCAGTCTTCTTGGGACACACGCATAAGATTTGCAATCATAGTCTGGCATTACAAAATGAATTTGTATTCTGAAATATAAAAGAGCAGGAGGACAAGAAAAGCTTCATGACATCAGGCGAAAATCAGGGCATACCGCAGAAAAGTAAAGTCACACAACACAGCGGCTCTTTAGGGACTTCCACAGCAACAGACACGGGTACGGAAGCAGAAAAGAACTGTTTATAAGAGACGTGATGTTACATGTAACAATTGGCAGATAAATAAGTAAAACGATGAAAGTAACCAACCACAAGTCTCCTCAGCAAAACGTAAGTGACTCACAGAGATGGAAATGGTTCCAGCTCAAAGCCGTTTTTCAGTTGTTTCCAATTACCGTCAGCAGTGATCTGGAACGGGAGGGAGCTCGTGGAGGTGAGGGCTTTTGGGACCTTTAAAGGAGGAGTCAGATCGGATGTTGAAGTGTAGCTGCTGCAATATAAAGTTTCTTTAGAAACGGTCCTCTGCAGCCAAAGGTTTGGGTTTTTGGATGATTTCACTCATAACAAGTATTTTTGTAGTTTTTTTTCTAAAACATACATGGAGAAAACAGCAGGAATCAGGAAAACATGTTTGCTTTTTATAGTTTCAGACGTGTGTAAAGGCCTGTTACAGTTAGAGTGCATTATTCATTGTGTATACATACATACACACATACATACATGCACTTTTTGTAATATCCACAGTAGAGATTTGACTTATTCATGTGCGTAGGCTGCTGAGTTTTTTTAATTTAATGATCCAGCTACCATTGTGAGTATCTAAGTTGTCTTTTTTAAAGGGAAAATATGAATTTTATACTCTCACTCTGGGACCATAGCTAACACAACCAAGTAAAGGAGTTGGTAATAAGCAGATGTGAGGGCAAAATTTGACAGTAAATAGCATTTATTCACACTAATGCTTGAGTGTAAGGGAAATGCTTTTGATGTGAAGTGCATTGTTCATCTTCTATGATTATAATCAAGGCAAGACAGCGGCCTTTCTGAAGTAAATAGATATTTTCTTCCCAAAAGCTGTCAGTGTCTAGGTGTGTCACAATGCATCAAATTGTCATTGCATAAATTGCATTACATTATCATAATACATACACATAATTCAGCCACTTTCTATTCATCTTTATGGCGAATTATACAGCTTTGGTGACAGAGCACATTGATGTGGAAATTCATATCCTCCCCCAACACGAGACAGCTAATGTGTTGGGAATGCCGGCCTATCCAGTAGTGAGGAAATGACCACTGTGTGGTTATCAACCACGTTGTCCACAGAATCAGATGCAACATTTTCAGTTAGTAGACAGTCAGTTAACTAGTAGCGTCATTTTTTCTTAATTTACCTTCTAAAACTGACAGCGTGTATGTCTTCTTCTAAATATAACAAACTTCTGTAGGATACATAACTGGCCTTTTAGCTTGGTTGGGTTTAGATGACACAATCAATTGGTTACGTTGAAAAAGATCCCGGTTTGGGTTAAAATAGTTTAACTGACATAAGTTAAATACATAGCTCAAGTTATCCCTGTATATACTGTATGTGGAGTATTTCCTACCCGAGTAGGTAATTCATTATACACCCGAGCACCTTAAAATCCCAAATGAGTCAACGCCCCATACAGACAAAGACCCCCGCTGATCAAGCGTCAGTATTTGGAGGAAGTGCAGGTGCAGCAGGGAATGTGGCCCTTTGGAGACTCATCTGTGCAAGACTGTGTAACGACACATCCTTAACTAATGCTGCTGGTTTCATGGATGTAATTTAAACTTCTGCTGCTGCAAATCTACATTCTGCGGCAAAACCAGGACTTAATTTAGCTGCGAGAAGAAAGTCTGATCCGGACAAATTACCGCAAGGTTTTAAAGAGGCAATTAAAAACCCTGGACGGTATAGTTATTTGCCCGGATGATAAAAATCCAAGAAGATTATTAAAGAGCTTCTCCATCGGCGGGCAGAGAAAGCTTCTCCTTTTACCACTCAGGGGAGCCCTCGCTGATTTTGTTTCTGCTAGGTCTCCGGGTTCGGCACAGACAGTTTTCCACAGGGTAATACGAGTTAAAGAGTGAGGGCTCGGCCGCCGTGTTCACGGTCACTCCGTAAGCAGCAGATTTTCTGCAGAAGCACAGTGCGTCCCCCACGGCCTCGGCCATAGTGCAAAGGTGCAGAAGCAATTGTGTGAGGATTATCAGTCTCCCATTACTGCAAATGTCACCGCATCAGCACCGCTCAACGTGATTATCTCAACGGGGAAACACATTGAAGGTGTTTACGGACTGCGAGAAAAGCCAACAGCAGGGAGGACGCAGTTGCTTTTGCTTGCGGCGGCCAAGAGGGAAATTAAAGGATAATCACAACACACTGACCCTCAGTAGGGGCACTGCTGTAAAACCTAATACTAATGTAGTAATGGACACATCCTTTGCATTTCCTCAGAGCAATTACAAAGACAATAGAAAGATTAAATCTGACTGCAACAGCAGAATATAAATGACGGAACCGCATTTTCTGAAGTGCTAATAGTGAATGAGACAACATTACCCCTCATTAGCTGTTTGGCAGATGGAATGGGCATTTCTTGAGGGGCTAAGTTGTCCTGATGGACTTTTATATACTCACCAAAGAGAATGTCTTTTCCCCACAGTACAAACGAGCAACTAACTAAAAATAAGTAACATTTCTATAGAAGATAAAAGGAAAGTCTTTTAGCAGTTGCCGCTCCACATCTTTCCTTTCTTCTCCCGTCGCTTCATGACTCCTGCTAAAGAAATGGACTTGAGGTATCATAATAACCCAGAGAGGCTTTAGCTTTGCTCCACTTCTGTCTGTGAATCTGACATCAAAGCTGGTGCTTCTAATCCCTGTGCCCTATTGAGGTAAACAGGGGCCCCGTGTGTCAATACCTGGCCTGTTATGATGAAGAAGGACTATCGCGTGCTGTGCGCGGGCTCTCTGAGCTGGATTAAAACAAAGTAATCCGCTCTGCCAAAAGACAGGGAATAACCACAGAGGGGTCAGAGGTTTAGCAACAAAAAAGATCCTTTTTTATGTGTAAATCTTTAGCAACACGCTCTTTGCTGTAGCACAATAGC